AAACCATTTTTGGCCTTATAAAACATTGGTCCCAGCTAACTCATCTTTCTCCTCTCTATCTCTATATATTTATCTCATTTTGGGGGGCTGTTCTCTTTCTTTCCTGGCTATTTGTTGAACAATTGACTTGAAAGAAATAGGAAAATTTTTAAGCTGAGAGGATTATTGGGTGGAGTCTGGTTCACTTTAATGCGTCGTTATAGGTGTCTATGGCCAAAGACTTTTGTAGCTATCATTAGTCCTAAAAGTTCTCCTTTTACTATAATTTTGCCTTTGTTTTTGGTGTTTTTGTTTTTTGTTTCTCGTTGGCTCTTATTTGTAGTGTGTTTCCTTTTTGTCTTACCAGTGCACTTTTTTCTTGTTCTTTTACTCATCACAATGAGTTTAGAATTTTAGATGCTTCCTACTTTAAAAGAAAATTAAATGAGAGGAGAAAAGAAAGACAAAGTTGGTCATCTTATAGATTGTAACTTCTACTAGTTTCTCTAGGTCTTTATGACTTTCCTATTTTTCTAATTTAACCCTTCTTTTTTGCAGCATTACATGAGATTGACCCAGTTTTCAAAAGCTTCTCCTACTCTGAGAAGGTTTCTGGTTTATTGTTGTCCTTGGGGTACAAGAGGCCAATAGTCATCCAGTCTATGTACATATTTAAGGTTCTCCCATTCATCACAGTATAATATAATTTATCAATGCTAGTGAATTTTATACAAATTTGAACATTTACGTGAAGTTTAACGTGCATACAATAACATATACTCGCGGACAGCAACCAGGTATTGGAGGTGAAGTAGTGCCTCACCAGGATAACTCATTTCTTTACACGGAACCAACCACGTGCACAGGACTATGGCTGGCACTTGAAGATGCAAACACAACAAATGGCTGTCTTTGGGCTATTCCTGGATCACATAAAAGTATTCCCTGGCAAGCCACTTTCATAAATAGCAGAATGTTTTTCCCTGATGTCTGATGTAATTTTATTTTTGGTTAAATGTTTTTGTTTCTAGATGGACTTGTTAGAAGGTTTCTTAGGGGTGAAAAGGGCATGTACTTTGATCGGCCTTCTCCTGCTTACGAACAGAAAGATTTCGTGCCTATTGAAGTGAAAGCTGGTTCTTTAGTTGTCATTCATGGAGACCTTATTCATCAAAGGTATGTGGAAGGAATGTAAAAACTATATCACTAGTTTGTAAATGTTGACGGTTTGAGTTAATCTTTAAATTTGTACCATTATCAATTTTTCATTTTTAAAAGTGGCACCATCTCACCTGGATACAACTTTTCTTTCCCAGTTAACTGTAGAGACAGATTCCTGTAAAAAAGAGATGCAGATTTTTTGAGTTCTAAACAATGTCTTAGATTTTGTGTTTAATTTCAAAGGAAGCTGAGGAGCTGTAGTTCTTATTTTACATAGATTATGATAATTTTATCATCAAGCTGATAGATGTCAAATTTCTTTCTTGTGTTTGGACTATAGCTTTGAGAACCAGTCTCCAAAATCAAGACATGCCTATAGCTTGCATGTGGTTGATACAGATGGTTGTGTTTGGGCTCAAGATAACTGGTGAGTACATGATAAATTTGAACTATTTACCGATTTTCTTAAGAAATGAGTTTATTTTCCATTGACGATTTTTTCCCCCCTCGTTGCTGGAAGCTGAGCTAGTTTTGAATTTTGATATTAATACTTCTGCAATTCTTGAAACTCTTAGCTTTTTGAGCAGTTGTGTTATTTTTTATTGAGTTGAAACTTTAAACTAGCTATTCACTAATTTTCTTGTTTAGCAATACAAGTACTTCATTTCTTAAAAAAAAACAAAAAAAAGACCATAGAAACGAGACTTCCATTGTAAGGTATTGTGATCGCAAGGTGCAACCAAAAAAATACAACCATGAAAGTTATCTGCCTCACAAAGCCAACAGTTAGCTAATATTGATACATATTGCCCCCACTTACTAGTTAATCCTCCTGTTATTTATAATAAGGAAAGGAATATTAAAAGATTGAAAGTAATTGAGGCTTAAAGCAGACGCGTTGAAAGGCCCCACCCTCCATGCCTTCAATTCAAGGTGCTAATAAATTCATTCCTACTCATATGACACACAGCCTAATGACCCAATATATGCTAGTACATTCTTAAACCCCACCACCCAAAATAAAAAAGAAACAAGTTTTCTGTATGAAAAATGCTAAAGGACTAGAAAGTGTTGCACACAATTTTACAGGAGAATGAGAGAAGCGAGGAATAAGGAGATGTTCATCCCTAGGGCCTTTTCCGCATAGGATATTGAGGCGTGTGAACATAATAAATATTCTCCAAATGGGATCACAGGAACAAATTCTCCCTTGGTTACATGCCATGCAAAAAGTTCTGCCTTCTCAAGCAGTCAAATTCTCCCAATTCCCTCATAGGACTAAGGTTAATGCAACATATATAAAGACTCAAACGTCAAAGAAGATTTTTAAGAATGGGCACTAGACAAGTAAAGATCCTCAACTCCTTTTTCCAATTCAGACAGAGTAATCTTTTTAAGTGTTCTTTGGACACTTTTTTTTTTTTTTTTTTTTTTTTTAAGAAACAAACAATTTGAAACAAGAACAACCTAAAGGCAGAGGGTAGAGAAAGCCCTCCCCTAGGAACTAAACAATCACAACTTTCCAATCACGTTGGTAATTCTTCAGACACCTTCATTTATCTGTCATTGATAATCCTTTTAGAACTAAAGCTAGCATTATAGTTGGCTCAATGGAAGGAGATAAAAGAGTCGCATACTGGATAAAGAAAGTTCGCCCAAATTATTCTTCAGATCGAATCTAGTCTAGTACACTCTCAAGGCTAATGTATCTCTCTAGTTATTGGCTTTGAGGAGATTCAGCATTGATTAGGTATTTTGCTAAATAGAAGGCTATTTTTAACTTCATCTTGGTGGATTAAGAATAAGCTTGAGAATGATGCATAAGGGAGTGCGATGTTTATTTTGCTTTGTCTAAGAGATTAATGTTTGTGGGGTTTTGAGTTCTGTAAAATGTGTTTGCCCACGACACTAGTTGGTTCGAGGGCTTGATGGTTTCGTATACATGCCATGGTCTTTGGTTTTACCCTTTTGGTGAATTCAAACAAAAAGAGTTACAAGTTACAGTTCTAGTGTCTGTACATAGCATTTTTAATGTTTAAGTCTTTTTATTTTTCATTCGTTCAATCGTAGTGCTAGTAGTTTTGTGTCCATATCAATTTAGTCCCTTGTGTTAATCATGCAGTTAAATAGTAACAAAAATATCACATGACATCATGTGGCATCACATGGGAGATGATATGGCTTTTGAAATATCATATGGTTGCATGCATATAGAAGTTGATATAGTAACATGATGCTACTATAGCCTTTGTAACTATTTGAGTGGATATTAATGAACTGTTGAGGACTGAATTTGATATGTTAATAAAAAAAAATGGCATCAAAACAAAAAAATGCTTAAAGTGGCGAAGTGGAAGGACTAGAATTGTAATTTAAGAAACAGAGATATCTCTTCGAGTAACAAAGGAGTCAATCATAGGGCTGTGTATTGTATCCCTCGTAGGAATGGTTGTGGTTGGACCTAGTTCGCTAATCGCTATTACTTGAGAAAGGTCTATAGTCCCGTAGTCCCTTTATTCTTTGGAAGGCTAAGTGGTGTCTTAGTAATGGAAAGGTAATTTTTTTTTGGACATCCGTGAGTATCCGAGTCAGCTTGCATGCATCTCGACTAATCTCACGGGACAACTGCCTGGCCCTACTATATTTGGTTGCCAAGGTAACTCTTAGGATATTAAATCCTAGATAGGCGGTCACCATGGTTTGAACTCATTCCTTAGCCCGTTGCTATTTACTATTTACATTGGCCCTTATTGACCACTAGGTCACACCATGATGGTTATGGAAAGGTATTTGGAAATTTTAATCCGTAGTTTCCTTGTTTGGCTCCTTTCCTTTCCATTAAAGGGCGCTAATGGCGAAAGTCTCTTTTGACATTATGCTGAGGTTAGCATAAGTTACGATGTGTTGCTCGAACTCTCTCAAGTCCCAGTCCCGTGTTGTATCAATGGTTTGCCTTTGTATTCGCCTCAGAAATGGCATTATCTGACCTCCATCCTTCAAATTTTGATACAGGATTAGAAGAAAGGTTCAGCCAGAGCCTTTGTATGAACCTTGATAAAATCCACACATCTTCATCACAAAAACAGGTACTCAATAGTTCATATCCAAAAACAAACATGCTTTTCTCGATGTAAAACATTGTGCTGAAGTTTCATAAAATGTGTAATCTTTTGTGGCTTTTAAGAATTTCCTCATTATTGCTAAGGATTAGGTTGTGTATTATTTATCTTTTTCCTGTCTTTAATATGCTTGATTTAGTTGTAAACTGCAGGTAGTTTATTTACTTTTTACTTTTTTAGCCCGTTGGATAACTATTTTGTCTGTTTTTTTAAATTTTAGTTTATAAACACCACTTGTGTGTTTATTTGCTTTCTTGGGATTTTGAAATTTTGTTTTTGTTTTCATAAAGTAGCTAAGAATTTAAATATGCTAGAAAGAATGGTATATACAAAAGAATTTTAGGGAAAATAGACATAAATTTTAATAATATATAACTACAAAAGAAATGATTATCAAAGATAACTTTAAGTTTTCTTTTGACATGTCATTTGACACGCTATGGTCTTTGTCCGAGGTCTTGCCCAATTGTATCTTATTTTTACAAAAAAAAAAAAAAAAAGTTGTATGAAAGGAGATTTTAAGTTAGTTTCATTTTGTTTTCTAAACTTGAAGTTTTGTCTCGCCTCTAGATTTTTAAAATGTCTATTTTAATCCATAAATTTTAAAAAGTGACTATTTTGATCAGGTTGTGTGGTTTATTTATGGGCTTCTAAGTGGTATATTCTTCTAACTTTTTAATTTTGTTTTTTTTTTTGAGTAAAACTTTCTAAGTATTGGTTGATATTTTGGAACTATACTAATTCTTTTTCTTCTTCAATAAGATATTAAATTTCACGAAGTGCTCTTCAACCTTTGAGGTAGGTTCAATTATTTTTTCAAAAGTTTCATTTTAATAATTAATCTTTAAAATTTTTTGATAACAATCTAACTAATTTTTTTTTTATTAAAATAAAGATGAAAATATGACATGGTTGGGAGTTGTAAAAATAGAAGTTATACTTGGTAGTGAAATGTATAATAATAAAAAAATTATTATACCTTTATTGTTTAAATATTTTATTTTAATCAAAATAATCATTTTGTCAGCTTTCACGTTAAAATATTGGCAAAAATATAACATAGCTATAAGTTGGAAAAATCATGTAATTCAGCACCACGAGAAATTAGTGTAATCCAAGTATAATCAATTTTACATTATCATAGTGGACGAAAAAGCATTTTCTTAACAGTAAAAAGAGAACTCCGAGAGATTTAAAAAGCACTTTTGGTTCTCCCACATAGCATAGAAAAAAACTCAATGAATTTCAAGTGACTTAAAATGAAGAATTATTTTCAAGCAAATACTAATTAAATATCGTTTAATAAAAAACATATTTGGTCCTTCTCACCTTTAAAAGTAATGATTTAGTTTTTGTACAATAGTAATGATTTAGTTTTTGTACAATAATTAGTGGATCAGTACATTGATGAATTATTTAGAAATCATAATTATTAAAATGTATACAATTTACACTTTTGTGATAAAACAACTAGTAATATTAAATAATTTTTAAAATCAATGGGATTTAAATCCATCAAAATTTGCTTAAACTTTTCAAAATTAAAAAAAAAAATACAAAAACCAAAAAAATCCTCAAAATCATCATTTTCGAAAATTTTGAAACCCCTGCTCCGACTCTTCTGCTTCCTCTGTTTTTCGTCTTTGGCTGACCATCTCTATTTTCCATCTCCGGCCGATCGTCTCTGCGTTCTTTTGCCTCAGCCACCATCTGGGTGCCTCCTTTTTATCCCGTCTTCGTCTCTGTTATTCTTATTAAAAAATTTGCTGTTTCCATCCGGTCCTTCATCTCCAGTCATCGTTCCTTCGTCTCTGGTTCCCCTCCATTGTCGGAGCAGTTCATCTCTGTTTATCCGATCAAAAGGTTTGCATTCAAATATATCCTAATAGTTTTCTATTTCAAATTTGTACAATGTTAAAAACCCTGTTTTTTTTTGGTACCCAAGTAGTCTCCAACGGTTGTTTTCAATTTCTGATTTCGTATGAACTAATGTATATATGGGGATATAAGGAAGTTTATACGGAATTTAGTTTATATCCGAATATATTTGAGGGTTGTAGTTCGAGAGTGAATTTCTAACAGTGATTTTAGGAAGGTTTATATGGAATTTAGTTTATATCCGAATATATTCGAGGGTTGTAGTTGGCTGAGAGTGAATTGCTAACAGTGATTTTAGGAAAGTTTATATGAATTTAGTTTATATCCGAATATATTCGAGGGTTGTAGTTGATGAGTGAATTTCGGACAGTGATTCTAGGAAAGTTTATATGAAATTTAGTTTATGTCCGGATATATCCGAGGGTTGTAGTTGGAGAGTGTTTAGGAAGTTTATATGGAATTTAGTTTATATCTGGATATATCCGAGGATTATAGTTGGAGAGTGAGTTGCTAAGAGTGATTTTACACTCAATGTTATGGGATACAAAGCTCACCAGTGAGAAGATGTTGGGCCATTACAAAAAGGGGAGAATAATTTTGATATCTTTGTAATCAATAATATTGATAAATCAAGAGAATCAATCTTTTTGAAGGAGTAAATTAAGATTTTGAATGAGTGAATTAAGGATTAGTGTTGAAAATTTGTATGGGGCCACAATAATTAAAGGATTATGATAATAATTTATGAAATTAAATCTTTTATATTTAAAAAAAAACAAATAATTATAATCAATATAAATGCAAGGCTAAAATCATAATTAAAATAAAATCCTGAAATCAAGACAATTAATTGATTCCAAGTAATTGGTTAAATTTAACAGAATTATGATGCGACTTCCAATAATAGGTTGGTTCAAGGTCAAATTGGTTCATGTTCGTTCGGTTCAGGACTTTAAAAAAGAAAGAAGAAAAATAAAAGAGATTCGGTGGGATTAAAATTTTGGAGTCCTGATGAGATTTAAAATGGGTTATAGGTTTAGGACAAGTTTAGAATTTGGGGATTTGTGGTGGGATTTAGATTATTAAATTGCAAAAGAAGTACAATCAAATTATAAGAACGGGTTAAACAAGATCTCCGATAGTTGAATCACATCATTTTAGAGTATAAAGATTAAATCGTTACTTTAATGAAAGTACATGACCAAATATATTTTTTAACCTTAAATATTCCTCTTAAAAGTATCAACTCTTCCTAAAATTTCGAAAATCCCTTCTCATTATCTATTTAAACATTATGAACATTTTGAAAAAAAAAATGTTGTCCCATTAACAACCTTTAATGGCCAAAAAATACTTTCTACTAGTTTATTTTATTTTTTTAGTACAACATATGAGATGGAGATTCGAATTCTCGACCTTACAGTTTGATACATGTACCTTAACTCGTTGAGCTATACTCTGATTGTCATACTTTCTACTCTTTTAAAAGTCATCTCAAACTCATCGCACCTAAAAATATAATCCAAATAATTCGTTGTGCTCGATCCTACTACCCTCAATATAACCAAATTTAATAATATGAGACAAATTAAATCCACTGTTAATTATGTTACCAACATCATGCCACCAACCATCGTTCAAGTAACACACTCAATACTTGCTCGGAGAAAAAAAAAAAAGTAACACACTCAATGAAACATTGAGGTTCCTCCTAGTCACTAAGGGTATATCTTCCTCTACTCCCTCTTCTTGACTACTTTCCTCTTTTCACTCCCCAACCTCTACTTTATCTTCATCATCATCCGTGACTAGCTCTCATTCCTTAAGTATCATGTCTCTTTGATTAGGGCAATTTCGGCTTATGTGGCCTACTCCATGACACTTAAAACATTTAATCTCACTAGTTCTAGTCTTGAGAATTTGGGGTTGGATTTTGGACTTGGATAACTCTCCCTTTTCATAACTAGCTTTCGGTTTTGACTATAGGGATTTGCTCTCCACTTTGTTACTAGTGGTCTTAGGGGTAGATTTGACATACCTTTTAGCCCTTCTTTGGTTTTACTTCTCTATTTTGACGGCGAGGTGTAGAAGTTCCTCCATGTCTTCATAGTGTTGCAAATCAATTTTGTCGGCTATGTCTGGGTTAAGACCATCTAAGAATCGGGTCATGGTGGTCTCCTTATCTTCTTCTAGTTGCAAATGGCTCATCAACATGTCTATCTCTTTGTAGTAGTCTTCAACTCCTTTAGTGCCTTGATAGAGCTTATTAACTTTCCTTGAATTTGCTCTATGGTAGTGTGGTGACACAAATCTCCTCTACATGAGTTCTTTGAATTCGATCCAAGAATCTACGGGTCCTTCCCTGTTCCTCCTTCTATGAGACATCACTTTATCCAACAAAGTTAGTGCATAATCTTTAAAATGAGTGATTGCGAGAATTACCTTCTTGCCATCATCATAGTTATGACATGCAAACACTAACTCAATTTCTTTCTCCCATGATTCAAACTTCTCAGGTGTAGACTTTCCATGGAAGGTTCATATTTTTAACTTGATGCTCCCAAGGTAGTTCTCATTTCTTGGCCTCTCTCGGTTAGGTTGGAATCTTCCTCTTCCTTGGCCTATGTATGCTCTTCTTGGAGGACCTACATCAAAAGGGTGTTCGTTAGCAAAATATTCATTTAAAGTTCCTACCTCTTCTTCTTGGGAATCGTCGGATGCCTCTCTTGGACTCATTGGTCTTCTTCGGTGTAGTACTCTTTGTGGTCTTTCCAATCCTTCAACACGTGTGTTCATCATTTGTAAGGATTCGGTAAGATCTTCAAGTTGTTGTGTGAACCTTGCAAAGGCTTGGATTTGAGCTTCTTTAAGTCTTTCATCGCTCACGTTAGCCTTGTCTCTTTCTTCTTGAGAATCGCGAGGCTTTCCTTGTGTTACCATCACTACACAAGTAAATGTTAGTAATAATAAAGAAAATTCTCACTCACTCCCTTACTTGTCCTCTCCGCTTCTATCCTTTTGGTAGGGTGGATGTTGGTGTGGGTAGTACCCTCTTGGAGATGCTAACTTGATTGCTCGTGGCAAATCGACCTTTGAATAAGCAAGTACAAGCCTACAAGCAACCTATGCAAAAAAAATACTTTTTTTTTTACTAGGGGTCAATGGTATAGATGATACCAAAGACAATAATCAAATGATAACAAACAATTACCAAATGATATAACTCAAGGAATTGAAACGAAGATATAAACAAGGAAAGATAAGATGCAAACCTTGAGCCTAATGCTCTCGGTACTAGGGA